CTATCTATATTATATATTGGAATTCAGGTGGTTTTCCTTAGAGAAAGAAAAAAAAAAGGATCCACAGCTAAAGCAAGTTTGAAAACTGAACCATATGATCACTGAATTCCCTGCTCTCTTTACATGCTGACATTTAAAACAAATGAAAGGCAGGAGTGTCATTATCAAGAAGGTAGTATCTAAAAAGCACGTGAGGACTCTGTGAACATCTGAAGAGGTGGGCTGGCACTTCCGTCTGCCATTAACTCATTGGTTGTCATGCAACTTTACCTCATTATACAGATCTAGTAGGATGCAGAGACATTTTTTTTTTTTGCGGTACGCGGGCCTCTCACTGTTGTGGCCTCTCCCGTTGCGGAGCACAGGCTCCGGACGCGCAGGCTCAGCGGCCATGGCTCACGGGCCCAGCAGCTCCGCGGCATGTGGGATCCTCCCGGGCCGGGGCACGAAGCCGTGTCCCCTGCATCGGCAGGCGGACTCCCAACCACTGCGCCACCAGGGAAGCCCAGAGACATTTTTTGAATCCACAAATAAAATCTATATAATCACCTTTATCCCTCAATCCCCTTGATAATAACCAGGAAGCTCAGACCGAAAAGATATGGGCCTAAGTGGTTCTCGTCCAAGTCTTGCTTTCAGATGGCTCATCACTCCACATCTGGTGACTCAAAGGCTGACCCCAGCCTCACAGGTGAGATGCACTGTCCTGGGGGCCTTGCACAGAGAGGGCCTTCCTTTTGCATGAAAAGTACTCAGCAGTTAGTGTGTGTGTGCCACTGAGGACTGCAGTCAGAAGACTTGGGCTTCTCTCCTCATTTGCCACTTACTTGCTCTGTGTCACTGCCGTGGACACGTACGGTTTGCTCTACTCAGCATCAATCCCATCCCCTCCTTCTTTCTGAAAACTGTTTTCTTCCCCCAGCCCCATTCTAATCCTATGGTTCTAGAGTGAGTTGCCAAGTTCTCGGGTGACTGGTTCTCTTGATTAATCTGGGGTAGGGGGTGGACAACAGAATTCAGCTCTACTCAGAGTCCTTTCTTGGGATTTCTAAATTTTGGGCTCGGGTCCACTTCTGACGTGAGGCGTGGAAGCTTCCGGCGATCCGCTGGTTGGTGTGGAGGAAAGCGTGAAGCCGGCACACAGAGAAGAGAAAGGAGGGGCAGATAGCATTGGTGGTGCGAGTCCCTGGTGGCAGCTGTTCCTGATGCCCAGAGGCACCTGCCCTGCCCTCCAGGAAGGGCTTGGTTGTTCAACTGTCCATAGGTTCCATGAGCCAATAAATCCTTCTTTATACCTAAATTAGTTCAAATTGGATTTTAGTCCCTTAACAACTGACACCAACCCTACATTAAGTCACTTAAATAGTATCAGTCTGTTTCTTCATTTGTAGAAACTACTTCAAAGATTTTTGGCAAAGACTAATGAGATATGTAACTCTGTTAAAACCATACTGAGCTATAACTATGTAAGGAGTGACTACGACAGATGTCTGATGGTGAAGATAAATGCAAGTGCTAGCCCAGTGGTTTGGACATAGCATAAGACCACCCCTGCTGCTACAAAAGCAAGTGTCTTGGGCTTCCCTGGTGGCGCAGTGGTTGAGAGTCCGCCTGCCGATGCAGGGAACACGGGTTCGTGTCCCTGTCCGGGAAGATCCCACATGCCGTGGAGCGGCTGGGCCCGTGAGCCATGGCCGCTGGGCCTGCGCGTCTGGAGCCTGTGCTCCGCAATAGGAGAGGCCACAGCAGTGAGAGGCCCGCGTACCGCAAAAAAACAAAAAAAAAACAAGTGTCTTGCTGACCAGAAGGCAGTTACTCCACAGTGGATACCCACTGCTTGTCTGTCCAGTTACCCTCCCTCCCAGCAACCCACACACCCTACCTCTGGAAATCACTCCACTTCCATTCCATCCACTTGGTTTCCATGGGAACTGCCCTATCCTTTCAAGACTCCATCCTAGTCTGGTTGATGGGCCTCAGGGTAAACGCCAGACCCAAGCTAAGCTAATGAATCCCTTTCCTGGGACTCTTTTTTTTTTTTTTAATTGTGGTAAAATACATGTAACATAAAATACACGATCTTAGCCATTTTTAAGTGAACAGTTCAGTGGTGTTAAGCACTTCATATTGTTCTGCAACCAATCTCCAGAGCTTTTCCATCTTGCAAAACTGAAACTCTATACCCATTAAACAACTCCCCACTTCCTTGCTCCAGGCCCTGGCAACCTCCATTCCACATTCTGTCTCTATGAATTTGACTACTTTAGATACTTCATATAAGTGGAAACATACAGTATTTGTTGTTGTTTTTATTTTTTAAAACATTTATTTATTTTTGGCTGCACTGGGTCTTTGTTGCTGCGCGCGGGCTTTCTCTAGTTGCGGGGGCAACTCTTCGTTGCAGTGTGCGGGCTTCTCATCGCGGTGGCTTCTCTTGTTGTGGCTCACGGGCTCTAGAATGCAGGTTCAGTAGCTGTGGCACACGGGCTTAGTTGCTCCGCGGCATGTGGGATCTTCCTGGACCAGGGCTCAAACTCGTCCCCTGCATTGGCAGGCGGATTCTTAACCACTGCACCACCAGGGAAGCCCCAGTATTTGCTCTTTTTTTGGACTGGTTTATTTCATCTAACATAATATCCTCAAGGTCTATCCATGTTGCAGCATGTGTCACAATTTCCGTCTTAAGACTGAATAACGTTCCACTGTATGTATCTACCACATTTTGTTTATCCATTCACCTGTCGATGGACACGGGGAGGTTATTTCAAACTTCTGGACTACTGTGAATAATGCTATGAACGTGGGTGTACAAAAATCTCTTCAAGACCCTGCTTTCAGTTCTTTTGGGTATATATCCAGAAATGGAATTACTGGATCCTATGGCAATTCTATTTTTCAGTTTTTTAGGAACCACCAGACTGTTATCCATAGCAGCTGTACCATTTTACATTCCCACTAACACAAGGGTTCCAATCTCTCCATATCCTCATCAACACTTGGGTTTTTTTGTTTTTTGTTTTTAAATAGAATCCGTCCTAATGGGTGTGAGATATCCCGGCACTTTTGAACTTAAAACCAGAGAAAGCATCAGCACAATCTCTCTCAGATGTAAAAGCTGGAAGAGGTAAAGCTTAGGTGCTGTGGGCAGTCCTGTCTCCCACCAAAGAGAAAGCCTGTTTGCAGTGACAGAAACAAGAGAGGGAGACTCCACAGCACCAGGGTAGGTGGTACTGGCTGTACCTGGGGCCTTGATCCTTTCCTGTGCTTGAATCTCATGAGGCACCTCAATAACCCTATCATAAGATCACCTTTTTGCTTAAGGTCATTTGAACCTGGCTTGTTTCATTTGTAACCGTAAGTCTTACCTAAAAGAAACACCTTAGTAGGAGGGTTACTTCTTCAGGAATCTTTTCTTGCTTTTTCTTGTCTTGATTCCTTCTTATACATAGATGGGATATAAATAATTGGTACATCTGAAAACCCCTAAAGGAACGCCTTTAGAGAAGTACAGCTTAATGGTTACAACACAGGTTTTAAGGCAGCCCAAACTGGCTTCATATCCCCCCTCAAGGAATGTTTAGGGACTTCCCTGGTGGTCCAGTGGGTAAGACTCTGTGCTCCCAATGCAGGGGGCCCGGGTTCGATCCCTAGTCAGGGAACTAGATCCTGCATGCATGCCCCAACTAAGATCCCGTGTGCCGCAACTGAGACCCAGCATAGCCTAAACAGATAAATACATAAATAAATAAACAAATATTGAAAAAAAAAAAGGAAGAAAGAAATGTTTACTGAGTGCCTTTCAAGCAGCAGGCCCCTTGTAGGTGCCAGGGATAAAGCAGTTAACAGTGGACAAAAATTCCTGTCCTCACAGGACTTTCCCTCTAGTCCTCAGCAAATATTTGCATGTCTACTCTGTGCCAACCATCATTAAGCTCTCTGTATATATATGCCTGTTTATAAAATGGGAATAATAAATTTCCTTGTCCATTTAAAGAAATCATTATAAGGTATGCATGTACTTAACACAAACTGCCTGATACACAGCAAAACACCCAATGAAGAGTAGCCATGTTTACATTTAGACATGGAGTCATGTCCTGTCTAAACCAGCCTTAGTATCTATTGGGTACCCACTGTGTGCCTCACATTTGCCTTAAGATAGGACTCACGTCATGGCAGGACTTACTCTCCAACGAGAGCATGAGATAGTTACAGGTGATATGTGCTGTAGCAGCGTAATGAGGAGGGAAAAGAATATGGTGGCTAAGAACACAGACTTTGGAGCCACCCACCTGGTTTCAAATCTCAGCGTGCCCTCCAGAAAATCACTTAACTCTTCTACTCCGTTTCTTCAACTGAAAAACAGAGCTAATAACAACAATGATGATGTAAGGACTAAATGAATTATATGTAAACTACTTAGAACATGCCTGGCATGTAGTACCATATGCTACTATTATGTAGTAAACTGCTATGGGAACATGTAGGAAGGAAAAACTAAACCTCCCTAAGGAGCCAAGGAAGCTTTGTCTAAGGAGAGGACATCAGATGTGGGCCTTGAAGGATATGCAGGAGTTCACTAAGTGAAGAGTAGGGGAAAGGGCATTTCAGGTGAATGAGACTGTTTGAGCAAATGAGCTAACTCATGAAGAAATCATATGCATTAAAAAACAACAACAGGGCTTCCCTGGTGGCGCAGTGGCTGAGAGTCCGCCTGCCGATGCAGGGGACACGGGTTCGTGCCCCGGTCTGGGAAGATCCCACATGCCGCGGAGCGGCTAGGCCCGTGAGCCATGGCCGCTGAGCCTGCGCGTCCAGAGTCTGTGCTCCGCAACAGGAGAGGCCACAACAGTGAGAGGCCTGCGTACCGCAAAA